CACACCCCTATGATCATGCTTTTCAAACCATTCATAGGTTTCCAATCACCACTTTATTCATATATATACATATACACATTTCTAAATCAAATTACACAATTTCATTACTTGTTTAACTAAAATTATTTTTTATGCAATAAACATTCAATGTTACAGAACATGCTCAGTTCAAAACAATTTCATATACTACATAGCATACCCATACACAGTTAGAACAAATAGTCAAACAAAGGAAGTTATTCAGTTGCTTCAACCCTTCTGTCACTAAAAAGGTTACTCATAGATTTCAACTACCAGTACAGCTTGTCACAAGTTTCCTTTCTCAACCCATGCACGTAATTTGCCAATCTAAACATAATTGGCACAATTTTAGTCAATTGGTCTAATTTGACCAAAAGTAAATAATTACTACTTATGACTATATTTAGCTGCCTATTCTTTTTCATTTATCTATTATAGGTCTATTACTACTTGACTACTACTTTACATCGCCTCAATTAGTCTCATTTCACTCAAACATGGCTTTCACTCCTTTTCCTCTCTAATTTAGGGCTAAATTGAGCCTACAGGGTTGAAGCTCTATTGCTTAGCTCTAAACCAGTCACAAAGCTCTAATTTAACTCCCATGAACCTTTTTATTAATATTTGGTAAGGATTAAACCCCTCAAATTTCACCGATTCAATTTCTTTATAACTCATATTTAAAGAAATTTGGGTAAAATGGAAGGTAAAGGCTATACATAGCTTACCCGATAAACTACTAATCAGAACCGCCTTCCACGGCTTTAAAATATCTTGCCCTATCAACTAAGCCCTTCTCTATTTCACATTTTCTAATTTCTCTTTGAACTTTACCTAAAATTCACAACTTATAGGGTCATTTTCTGGTACATGCATCACAGCACATGTAGCACTAATTACAATGTATGGGACAGCGAGAAGAATTCTCACCATGCATACTTGCTTCAACCCAAAAAGCAATCCTCTCACTTAAATCTTCTTATTCAAACATCCCAATGAGTCAAATCATCACATTATCACTCAAAACCTTACTCACTCACAACTACTATTTTACTCCTAATTAACAGCTAATCACAAGATTAGGAAATTAAGATGTTAATCATGGCATGGAGGAAGGCTTAAAATGAGCCTAGAGTTCTCTGTGCCATGTGCTGTAGTGGACGTTGCAATGTATCATAACACACATGTAAAATTAGCCTTTATCATGTTGGATAGGGAGGCACAGCAGAAGATTAAAATTTTAAAATCCCTATCCTGATATGGACCGAACGAACTCATTTAAGTCAAGGTAGATAGAATAGTTACCTTTTTAATTCTTTAAAGTTGGCGCACATTTGGATCTCAAGAGCTGACAATGTGTAGATCTGCTCCCTCTACCAGTATCCACATGAATATCTCTCTAACTCGAATAGCGTGCTAGCACTCTCAACATCCGTTCTTCTTTGAATGCCAATTTTCTTTTCTATAGAGGGTTTGTGGCTCTCAAAGTGGGTTTGGCGATCAGAACTTTTCGAACTCTCTCGCTCCCTTCATCAAGACATCCCTATCTATATATAGATATAAATAAGGATTGGTTGTCTTCCACTTAAAAACTCACGAAAATTTAATTCAATTTATCTCATAAATTTAATCCATAATATCATATCTAATCAAATTTATCTCATAAATTCAAATTATAAAACTGACATAATATTCTCTCTTATCATGTTAGTTATTAAATTTAATCTATCATATAAAATTAAAATTTAAAACTAACAAAGATAATATAATATATATCACATACATATTATATTATATATAGAATGATATATATACAAATATATTTCAAAAAAATATATATACACACACACATATATGGATATAATATATTATTGAAAATAAATTATATTTTAAATTTTGTATTTCATATAAATATATATATAGATGATATATGTAACAAACAAAATTTTTATTGGTAATAATAATTTTGTTACATATTCTTGAAATATACTAGGACTATTATGAAATCTCATAAGTAATACATTCCATTCCAACAATCCTTCTGATGTACTAAAAGAGTATATTTTTTTACTCTCTTTCTTCTAATTTTATTTGAAAAAATCTTGATTTGCAATCAAATTTACTAAAATATATTTTTTTCTTCATTTATAATTTCTTCATCTTCTACTATTCTCATCATATTTATTTGTGACCATTCATCTTCTAATTTATTATGAGGGTTTATTCCTCAATATTACATTATTATATAAATATTATGACTTATCATACTTTGTTCAGTTCTTAATCTTTCTGTATCATATTTTATTTCACCTAATTTTTCATTATATTCTTTCTTTATTAATATACTTTTTATTCTAAAGGGTTTGCATATTCTTTAAGTCTTTTCATTTTTTTCTCTAGGACTTTCTTTTTCTAACATTATTTGTACTTCTTATCGGTGGTAACATATTTATTACTCTTTTTCATTAAAAAGATGTTCTAAATCTTTTATATTTTCATTTTTTAACAACCTAATTATTTCATTAAAAAACATATTTGTTCAGTTTTGCTTGATTACTTATACTATCTCCTTCTCCTCCTAATAAGAAAGGTACTAAAATACATGATAAATTTTCTACTGATATATGAGAACTTTTTAGAATTTTATTTTGCTCTACTTCATACATTTTTTATTCAATGTTTTTATTATATTCATTTAAACAGATTCTAATGCTTCTATTATAGTAAAACAAATACTAAGAAAGATTAAAAATCTTCTTTGATTTCTTTCTTCTACTGGGGTCATATAATAAATTCTTATTTCTCTTCCTACACATTCATTTATTGTTTAATATCATTCTATTCTTGTTTATTTATTATCTATATCTTGTCTCATTAACCAATTCAAAAATATTGTAATCATTATTACTTGTTTATTTATTATTCTTTTTTTCTATTATTCTTTAATATCATACCAACTATTATGCAACTTCTATCCAAACAATCCATAATAGTATTATTTGCTCAATTACCATACTATCAACCAAAAACTAATCGACTATCAAAATATTCATACTATTTAAAACAACAGATAAGAAAAGCAAGTAACAGATAAGGAAGCCGAAAAACAGATAACTGAGTAAAACAACAATAAACTTTAGGCATTAAGAAGTTTATATTATCTTCCTCTTAACATCATTTTGAACTTCTACTTTGATACCATAACGACAATAGCTGGCTATATATTGCTACAGGGCTTGACACTAATCCGAGTCATAGCAAAACATGAAAGGTTCTCAAATCCTTTCATACTGAGATTAACAAACCCGGCAGTCTCAAAAGCTTGGCTATAGACCTTTCATAGAACCACTTCCTTTAAATCCTTACAGCACAGCCTTCCTTGGTTTCCTACTAAAGGCATAAACATAGCAAACATAACCAGTAATTTCCCTTTTATAGGATCATTGCAGAAATACAAACTTTGTTAACCATTAGATAATAATCCCTCCTTAACCCCTAAAAAAGAAATTACTCAACCATACCTTTTAATCTTCAATACTTGCAAAGGAGGAAAAATATGAACATAATACTTTTATTGACAGTAATAAGCAAGGCTATAAGGAGGCAGAGAACTCAAGTGCTTAAGAAGGCTCTAAGGTTCCAAGTTGTTGTGTTGACCTCGAGATTACATGGTCTTATATAAGAGTTGGTATTTTCAAACCCCTAGTTACATAACCGGGTTAATTTTAACTCTAATACATTACAGAAAAACAAAACTTACTTGACAAAAATGAAAGGGCTAGCTTAGACTTCTTAGGCTTTTTGACAAAATGGAAATTAAAATAAATAATTACAAGAGACAATATAGGTTTAGGCTTCTTTTTAGCTCTTAGTCTTTTGACTTGTTTTCTTCCATTTTCTTCAGTCTTCTTTTTACTGTCGGTATACTAATCCAGCAATATTCATGTTTTACATTTATGAATAGCATACTCACTAGTACAAAAATGACTTTTTACAGCGGTTAACGAGACGATGTTGTTCCAGGATGTAAAAAGTCCCTCTTTTTACATCGGTTATAAACCGATGTAAAAATTAAATTTTTTACATCGTTTTATAGAGCCGATGTTGAAAGTTATATACAAGAAAATTAAAAAAAATTTACTTTAACTTTTTACACCGGTTCTTATACACAACCGGTGGGATAAGAACCGGTGTAAAAGGTACACTTTTTACACCAGTTATGACCATACCGTGTAAAAAATATTATATTCTACAACGGTTGTGGTAATAACCGGTGTAAAAAGTATTTTATTTTTTTATATTATATTTATTTTATCGATTTTACCCATTCCTATGCATAGAAATTGCCAAATCAGACAGCCCAATTAATTTACAATTGTTTATCAAGTATTTATCAACTATACAAAGCTATTTAACTATTAAAAAAACTAATAATTGTCTAAATTGTCAAAATTGCCATTCCTGTGCATAAAAATTGCCAAATCAGACAGCTCAATTCATTTACAATTGTTTATCAAGTATATCAACTATACAAAACTATTTAACTATTAGGAAAACTAATAATTATCTAAATTGTGTCAACTATCAAAATTAAAACATGTCTAAAAGTAACAAAAAACCTCACAAGTTCTCCACAAAATAGGTTGCCCAACGTATGCGGATGTCTTCAATTTCAGCTTCAGAAAATGCATCCGAATTGTCGAACATCTAAAATTTAATTCATAAAGTAGGCATATTAATCAATTTCAAATAACATAATAAAATAAAATTTTAAAAATATATATATTTACCTTTTTGTAAATTCGGTCATGCCTAATGTGATAATATTGAGCATGTGCCTCATGATATATAGACCGCACAAGTTCGTCCTCACCGTTGTCTATGACTCTATATAAGAACAAATCATAAAAAATTAGTAAGAAATCTTAATGGTTGAATATATTAATAAAGTATAGCATCACCTTTGGCTCAATCCATGTGGGATCCTTGAGCTCATGTCCATGCTTTTGTAAGACTACATTTTGATATGTTCTCATTGCCCTATGATCAAGATTACCAAGTTAGTAAAAATATTCAAAAAAAAATTAAATTAAATAGTTTAGTAAAAGTATTCTTACAAGTCTATCGTCTTCTTCATTTCTTTCCCAAGTTTGTAATGGAGGGAGCATAAAAAGACGACAGTGTTGCTCTTCATTGAAAGAACAAATAACTGCCAATGGTCCCTGCTAAATATGATACAAGTTAAAGTAAATCCATATTAAAAAACTATTAATTATAAATTGATCCTTACGAGTGCACATATGGAGCCATAAAAACGTCCTTTTTGACTTCACATATTCTCTGTTGGAGGTACGCGGCCCTTAACTCTGGAGTATTACCTTTCTCTGTCATGTGATGAGGGCAAAGGAATCCAAACTTATCACCTTTGCCCGATATAATGCACAAATGATGAAGATACCTACAACAATGCAATTATATTAGTTTACTAAACTTGATGATTAAGTTTACTTACAACAATGCAATTATATTAAAAAAAATATACTTACATCATAAATAGTTCAATGTGTGGTGTGGTAAGCTGATTATTTGACAGAAGTCGAACCAAATCTTCCCGTTCAATTGTCACTATCATGTCTTTCTTGCCCACAACCTCCGGATCCATTTCTAAACTCTTGAACTCGAATGATAAATCATACGCCATTAAAATCATTCGCTGATGCGGAGTCAACGAGGGTTGTGGAAGCTTTGGGAGATTCGACGAGGAAAGCTTCTACATAATAAAAAGACAAGAAATAGTTAATAAAAAACATATATTAGGAAGTTGCTACATAATAAAAATTATGAAATTTCGTACCACAGCTTGAACTAGATTCACAAGTCTCTTGGGCCATAGGATAAAATTGCCAACAGCTTCAACCACAGTCTTCACCTCATCAGTAGGGAATGGAACCAAAGCATCTGGCACTTTTGGATCTGCAACCACCACTCTTACTTGATCATCTTGAATTTGCTTGTGGTGGATGGTTGACCCCAAGCTATAGATGCTACCAAGAGCAACCAAGCGTTTATCAGGATCTTCTAGAAATATCTCACATGGTTCACCAATGTTGTCACCAGAAGGACCCTCTGACACATGCTCAAGAATATTACTCCCTTTTGTACTATGAAATGCAGGAGATGTATGAACTGGTTCAGCAGTTGTCTCCTGTCGTGAGCTCATCATGCTCATCATCTCCTCCTTCATTTGCTCTTTCATTTGTAGAAGCCGAGCTTCAAATGAAGCTTCAAACTCATCCTTAGTCTGTTGCCTCACAGTGGATATCAATGTATCAAGCTCTTCTCTAGTCACTACACCTCCTGAATTAGGACGTACAGGTGCTCCAAAGTAGTCCTTAATGCCCACACCATATCCAACGCCCCTCACACGACCCGGATGCTCTGGCTTGCCTGTAGCAACTGTTAAGATATCATTTCTGCCCTCTGAAATGAAGCTTCCTTGGGCTTGTTGCTCCTTAAGAGTATCCTATAATATAAAAATAACAATATTAATTAATAATATATACAATTGTATAGAAATTTAAAGGGACAAGGAATAATAATTTTACTTACAATCCTCTCGGCAATCTCCCGTGCTGTCTCACTTGTATAGCCTCCTTTCTTGTACTGATGTCCATATCTCCATTTCTCCTCTCGAGAGACAGGTGATGGTGGAGAAAGGAGTATGGAAGGATCAGACTTGGCTTCTTCTTCTCTCTTCTTCTGTTTCTCTGCCATCAGTATATCATCAGCTCTAGCATAACCTCCACGAGATAAGGTGTGGGGGCATTGATTCTGCCGAGCAATTTCTCGCCCTTTAGCTCGTTTTTCCTGTTAATAAATTGAATTTTAGATTTATAATTAAAGTAAATCTAAATAAAACTTAAATAAATTAAAAGTTAACAAACCATAGCCTTTTCAGAAGTCCGAATCCTGACAAATTCTTCCCAAGTATCTTCATCAAGGAACTGGTATGTATCAAGAGGATTGGGACGAGCCTGACCCTCTGGCACCTCGATAAAGATATATCTTCTAGCAAGATCAGTCTTAAAATTTCTCCAACGTGTTCCACAGTAAGAAATCAATTTGTGTCGACAATCTTGATTAGATGGAACATCGTATGTGAGCTACAATGAAGACATAAGATAATAATCAATAATTGCCCAATAATATATAACTATAAAAAAAATTTAATTTTTAATTACTTACCTGAATACTTTCCCAAATCTGTTCCTTCACACGTTCTGGCACATCAGGCCAGTCCTCAAACACAATAGGAGGCTTGGTACGCGAGAGGAGGCCAAGAAAACTAACAAACTTGGCTTTATGTGGCCCTATCAGATTCCATCTCTGGTCAAATTGAATTGGTAACCTACGCCCAGCACTCCTACTTAATGTCAGATCTCTTAATCGTGTGCCACGTCTCCCCCTCCTCACAGACTGGCTCTGACTCGGCTCCTCACTAGGGGTGCCCTGACTTAGCTCCCCACTAGGAGCAACATCACCAATTGATTGGCTCTGAGTGTCATCACCTTGATTCTCCATATTCCTATTAATTCAAATAAATGAAATTAATTAAAAAAATAATCAAAGATAAGATAATTAAGAAAAACAATCCCACAACATAAATTTAATTGAACTAAATTAACATACTTTAATTTAAAACTAAACTCATATAGGGATATTCTCCCATATCCCTTCATGGTGATCACTTCTTATGGCATGTTCATCATCTACTTCATCTACCATCTACCACATCCAAAATTGGTAGCCCACTTGAGAAGTTAGGAGTTTCAAAAATATCAAAATTTGATTCATGATCGTCATTACTATCAATCATCCTTTTTCCTTTAAGTGCTATTGACCAATTTTTATTTGCTGGATCCGTGACATAGAAAACTTGTTTAGCTTGGTCTGCCATAATAAATGGCTCATCTCCAAAAGTTAGTTTTTTAAGATCAACCATTGTAAATCCAAACTTATCATCACGAATACTATTGACGTCAACCCACTTGCATTTGAAAACAGGAACTCTAAATTTTGTATAATCAACCTCCCAAATCTCTTCAATAACCCCAAAGTAAGTCCTGGATGCTAGTTTAGGTTTCATATCTTTTGAACTAGGAAAGTGTACGGCTTCAGCCATTATCATAACTCCACTATTTTGCACCGTACTCTTCTCATCCAAAGACTTTGTATAAAAGGAATACCCATTAATATCATAGGCACTCCAACATATAACATCAAAGTTAGGACCTCCAGCCAACCATTTAACTGTTTCAGAAACACCACTTTCATTCAAAATTTTCTGCTTGAACCAATTCACAAAAGTCCTATTATGCTCTTTCAACAACTTTTGTTCTGTCATTCTCATTCGATAATTTTTTGCCTTTAAAAGTTCTTTATGAGAAGATATGTAATCTTTAACTTCATCAATATTATTCAAGATATATAAATGTGCTTCTTGTAATTCATCATGATTCATGCTCTTCACTGATACTCCACGTGTGCCTTGACCATATTGCCTTTTCTCATGACAAGATTTAGGAAGTCCAATTGATTCTGTACTTGACAAGTAATCAGAACAAAACTCCATAGCTTCTTCAGCAACATATTTCTCAACTATTGATGCTTCGGGTCGAAATGGATTTTTGACATACCCTTTCAGTATTTTCATGTATCTCTCAACTGGGTACATCCATCGCAAATAAACAGGGCCACACAATTTTACCTCCCTTACTAGATGCACTATTAAGTGAACCATAATGTCAAAAAATGTAGGAAGAAAGTGCATCTCAAGTTGGCACAAGATAGTACAAGCTTCTTGTTCTAACTCTTCCAGTTTACGGGGATCAATAACTTTACTACATATAGCATTGAAAAAGAAACAAAGTCTGGTTATTGTAAGTCTTAAATCTTCTTTCAATATGCCTCGAATAGCCAAAGGTAATAGTTGTTGCATCAAGACATGGCAATCATGAGATTTTAAGCCTACCAGTTTCAACTCTTTCACAGATACAAGCTTCATAATATTTGAAGAATACCCCGAAGGAACTTTGATTCCATGTAAACACTCACAAAAACTTGTTTTCTCAGATTTGCACAATGTATGAGAGGCTGGGGGACAATAAGTTCGTTTACCTTCTGGTCTTGGGTGTAAGTCTTCCCGTATTCCCATTTCTTTCAAATCCAATCTTGCATTCACACCATCCTTAGTCTTACCTGGTATGTTCAGAAGCATTCCAATAATACTATCACAAACGTTTTTCTCCACATGCATAACATCAATACAATGCCTTACTTCAAGATTGCGCCAATATGGGAGGTCAAAAAAGATAGACCTTTTTTTCCATATGCTTTTTGCACCAGTATTCTTTTTAGTCTTACCGAAGACAATATTAATGTTTTTCACACGTTCATATACTTGATCCCCAGTCAAAGCATCCGGAGCATCATTGTGTTCTTGGTGACCATGAAAAGCTTTCTTCAATCTACGATATGGGTGATCTCGTCTAAGAAACCTCCGATGGCCAAGGTAGACTGTCTTCCTTCCATGTTGAAGTTGATGGTAGTTTGTGCTTTCTTCACAAATTGGACAAGCTTTATGACCTTTCACGCTATAACCAGAAAAATTTTCATATGCAGGAAAATCATTTATAGTACAAAAGATCATAGCACGTAACTTAAAATTCTCCTTCTGATTTGCATCAAACATTTCCATACCTACCTCCCACAACACTTTCAAATCTTCAATCAGAGGTCTTAGATAAATATCAATATCATTTCCCGGTTGTTTTGGTCCCGAAATCAACATGGATAGCATCATGTACTTCGTTTCATGCACAACTTAGGTGATAGATTGTAAATCACCAAAAGAACAGGCCATGAACTATGTATACTACTAAGACTACCATAAGGATTCATTCCATCGGTAGAAAGTCCAAGCCTCAAGTTCCTTGGCTCATTGCCAAATTCGGGAAACAATTGATCAATTTTCTTCCATTGAGGAGAATCGGCTGGATGTCGAAGTTTTCCATCAGATATCCTCTCATTTGCATGCCACATCAAGTTCTTTGCATCATTAGTATTTGCAAACAAATGCTTGAACCTTGGTATAATTGGAAGATACCATAAGACTTTTGTAGGAGCCCCCTTCTCTTTGTACCGTGGTGCCTCACATTTGAACACTTCTCCTCCCCTTCAAGCTCTTTTCTGTACAACACACAATCATTAGGACATGCGTGTATTTTTTTATACTTCATACCCATTGGACACAAGATCTTCTTGGCATCATAATAACGATTTGGTAGTACATTGCCCTTCGAAAACATTATTTGAAGTAACTCTAAC